AACTGAACTGCGTTCCTTATGGAGACCACACTTTTCACATACGTGGCGACCCCCCAGAAGTTTTCAGTTACATGTAAAGTGATGGTACATGATTTGCGACATAGCAATCAGACCATGACGGGCCGCTCGGCTGCTCTGCCCCTTCAGCTGTGATTGTTTGCAGAGTAAATCATTTTTCGCACCGATCTTACGACAATAATTTCACATATTCAAGTTCATTACATTTCAGTCAGGCTAGGCGGTTCTCCCAAATTGGTTAGCAACCAATCACAGCTGAAGGGGCAGAGCAGCCGAGCGGCTCGTCATCGTCTGATTGCTATGTCGCAAATCATGTACCATTACTTTACATGTAAAAGAAAACTGCTGGGGGGTCGCCACATATGTGAAGAGTGTGGTCTCCATGTGGAACGCAGTTCAGTTCGACTGAGAATCAAACCTGTAATGGGACTCTAACGGACTACACTGTCAACCCAACTTGCACTCAGAACGAGATTGAATACACCAACAGTCTATGAGAAACAAAGCAGGCTGAGCTCTGCTTGAGTGACCTACATTCACACAGTGCGACATCACACTCTCAGCATCATCCCTACCGAACACAGAAAGGATTATGACCGCAGACAGTTGAGCAGATGTCACACTGCTGTAAGCTGCTACATGTCTAAATAAGAAAACATAGATGATATTATATGACACGTTCGAGGCGGCGTGTATACTACGGGGAGTACACAACAAACTTCTCTTCGGCGAATCGTGCGCAGTCGTCATCCTGGAGGTTGATTAAAGCGGCAAGTCGCGAGGCGGCTGCGACTTGTTATGAGAGCTTCAATCAGCTGTCTCCTGCTTATTCTTGCCATTTTCTCCCTAATTTAAACTATTTCGGTTGTTTTTCTCTGACTAGTTGTTCCTTGTCTTCACGAGCTAAGTTACGATTAACCCATTGACGACTGCGGATAAGCATGCGCGTTGTACGAGTATACTAAGAGGTGAACTGCAGAAAGAATAGGAGAAAAGAAGATGTGGATTGGCTTATAGTGATTTGTATACAATGCTCGTGGTCCCACGTGACCTACAAAGCGTGCATTGAATGCTTACCACGCGGTCCTCAATGTGTCAATCGTAATTTACCTCGTGAAGACAAGGAACAACTAGTCTGTGAAAAGTAACCAAGTGGTTTCTGGTGCTTCGAGGGAGCGTAGAAAAATAGGAGGTTATCAGACACCGCGAAAGCAAGGGCTAAGTCGCTTCTGTAGCATTAAGTTATGAGTGGAAGCGCACGAAGTTGTTACAGTGCTTTCCAGCGTGTGAACCCCTGTCATCGCCTGCCTGAACGCTCGAAGGCAAATGGCGCGATAGTTGTACGCGGTCTTGAATGCTATCAGATGCTATACAGTGGGGAGACTGGCAAAAATAACGTGCCAATAACAGCTGCGGCAGATACAGCTGCATGTCCGTACTCATATATTCATGCAATACCACCGCCGCTCATACCAATCCGTTCGCTCCATATTTTACTTTACAAATGAAGCACCTGGTGCATCAGCTGCGGTCGTCCATTTGTGGGAGGACGGAGGGTGGGCGTCCGGATCGGAGAGGTCTTCAACGTGACTCAAATGAAGTAGCCCCTCTTTCAAGCAGTAGGGGACGGTTCACCGGGTCCTCGTGCGAGGGAGCGAAAAATAGCAATAGCAGAGCCCACAAGCAAACCAAGCCACCGACACCACTCAACAGCTTGCCCTCATAATGAGCCATTTCAGCTTCAACTTCCTGCATAGGATTTTGATTTCTATGAGTAATCGTAGAATAAGCAATGTAATTTCATACATTTATTGAGGACTGTCATAAGATGGAACTAAACCCAGAGTTGGCTTTCCGATACCGGAGTGGCATAATCATCATGAGGTCCTTTCCTGAAAAGTCTGTCTAGTCGCAGATGAGGAATGCCAGAACTCCATCAAAAACTCACTCGGGATCCGCCTCATCGCAGCACATTTTACAAGATTTCATGCATTTTGCCTTCTTTTGTTCCCATGTGTGGAACTGTGACTCACAATACTCTTTCGGGACCTTCTCTTTACAGCTACAACGAGGAAAATTTCGTTAGTTCACGACGTGGTGCTAAGAGAGTTCCTGTGGTGTTGATTTTGGAAGCTCTACTATAAGTACTGTTCTGGCTCGTTGTCCTTGCAGGGGTCTTCCTCCTTTATCTTGCTAAAGAGGGTGGCATGAACGACTACCAAACTGACAGGGACGGCCACTGCTGTTTTCATAGTTTCCTCCGCATGGAGACAGCTGTTCAAAACTCGTAGAGGTTCTATAAAAGAGCTGGTGCAGTGATGTAAAGATATCCACCCACTTGTTCCAAAGCGTTCGCTTAATATTCACTAGGTTCTCTCATTCCCTTGATTCACCTTAATAATCGCGAGGATTCTTGCAAAGATCACACTGCTCGGATGACAAGGGTAGGCCCTGCAAGCAGGGGGCGACTAGAGACAAATGATGCGCTACCGGGACGATGTGCCCCACTCTAATCAACGTGCCAACTGAGAAGTTCGAATGCAGTACATCTCGCAGGAGTATTCCGCATTCTCCGCCCTTTTTTCAAGCCTCCAATTTTTTTAGTGTAAGGCACATTCACCAGCACGCGATAACGCGGCAAATAACACCAGCCATAGTAACATCTGTTTTTGTTTTTATTACATACCTTGATCTTCCACTTCGTTTTCGAATACTATTTCCGATTCAATCACTTCTTCAAATTTAAGTGACGACGTGGGAGAAATTATGGATAAAATCACTGATAATCCCTTGGGTGTATACAAATAAGCAATAAATAAATAAGTAGTTGCGTGAATCCGACTGCCGATGAAACCAGTTACATGCACCACCTGGTGACCAACTCCTCTCCAAACTGGCTTCAAAATTCATTCTACTAATTAACGTTAACTTGGGTGTAGGTTTGCTTGTTCTTTCATCGCCACGACACTGGCAGTGTTCCTAAAATGACCTTCCATACAACGTCTTTTCAAAGCCATTCCAACTTCTTCGGGCGGAATTTGATGCTTTACTTGATTTAAAGAGCAGTATTGACCAAACACCACATATTCAAGCCGGAAGAGTCCTACAGCAGGCAGCAAGGAACGTTACTGGCGTTCTCGCCAGCTTCCTAGCTCGCACCAGCAAGAACGTAAGAGTTCTAGGGCTTTTACTTTTCTTGTTCGTTGAACAACTTTTCTTTCTTGATAAGTTTTGTGAGGTGCTTGCCGTTCGATAGAAGGGTAGGACACTTCTTCTCGCTCTCAAGCTTCTGCTTGCCAGAAACGTCGCACTTTACAAAACGTCAACTAATACCTTCGTGAGTAGTCATGAGCAGCTCTCTTCAGCGAGGTGGCAGAGAGTTTCAGTTCAGCAGATGTCTTTCACATGCTCTTGTGTGACATCGTCCCAGTATTTCATTTACGATTTTCTCCAGCTGGAGAATTGTGACAGAAACAGATGAGCGGAATGAGGTTCAACTTTGACAGTACGCCGCATAATGTGGAGAATGGTGGTGCATGAGGTGTTGAAGAGAGGAGCGGCAATGGGGACGTATCCACATAAATACCGTCTCCCGCTCTCAACCGGTTCGAGGGCCTTTGTACAAGAAGTCTGGTTCTCATCTTTTAAGATTGTCGCACTTCGACAACTACTGATGAAGGAGCTGCGGACCTCATGAGTGGAAGTTCTGACGGTTTCCTAGTTGTCCTGCCCCACCAGAACTCAAAGCCTATTTCCTGTCACAAGCTCAGTTTTTACAGCGTGTTTTTTACTTTTCGATGGTAATCTTAGATTGGTTGACGCGGAGAATTAGTGATCCAGGGCGGCAGGAGAATCGCTTTGCTGTACGAATTTTCTGGAGTAGGCCCAGAACAATCGTACAGCAATGTAACAAGGGGTCCCTACTCAGGGGTATCTCGACAAGATTTGGTTTTTTCTCCCCTGGAGTCTCATTAAGCAACTAGAGGTCTGTAACTGAACTTTGTTGTTACCATTTTCAAAAAGAAAAAAAAATCTAGCGATGTCGTTCTAAAACGGTGCATGCATGAGCACAGGTATACTATGAACGCAACAAAAGCAAAGACAATCAAAGAAGTCACAGGAAACTTGTACGCTTCTGCGCTTTCGTTACAATATTTATGGTGCGCCCTGCATACATAACTAGCTTTGCCGCGGCGAATCTAATGAAGGATTTCCTTGAATGTCCCCATGTATTCAGAATTATCGATGTTCGTAAACGAACACTACCCACAACTATTGCTTTACTTCTCCCTAGCGTGGAAATGTTTTTCAGTAACATTGTACGTCAACAGTGGGACTCACTTATATTCGATTGAAATTTCCTTGTCCTGGATACCGGTGACGAACATCAGACCAATGTTTAGCACTCGGCCCGAGGTAGCGGGTAAGACCTGCAATTTATCAAGGGCTAGTGAATGACTGGGTCATAGAAAACCATCAGGAACATATCTTTTTTCTGATTGTCTAAAAGTCCTTTTGAAAGGGATTCCTACTGTTCAAAACGCTTTCATAATGCTCAAATGGATAAGGGCTTCTGTCAAAAGGGTGCCCTCTCGCTACGAGGGTTCAAATACATTTTCTCATCATGTGTGCTAGCCCAGCAGTTGCAGGGGAAAAGGAAAAGAAAGAGGGGAAAGAGAAGAAAGGAAAAGAAGGAAGAAAAAAAAGAAGAAGGAGCTAAGCTTCGCGGTTGACAAGTATCCTGAAAGGTCGTAGATTCAAGAGATCGCAACATTGGATAACCAGCTTCGATATATTTATCGGTTACAGAGAAGTATGACATAAACAACATAAATTAACATACAGAAGGAGGCGCATCTTATGGTTCTGGTCCCATACCGCTTTTTTTCATTGCTGAGAAAACCAGAAAATGTTCTACAAAATATTAGGCACACATACAACCTAGATCGGGTATTCAGTGCGAATCCCCAAAAGTCATCCTACTATATATAAACGGCAACGTCTGTCTGTTTGTCTGTCTGTCTGTTTGTCTGTCTGTCCGGAAATTCGGAATCACCTGAAGAGCCAGTTTCAGGGGGCGGGTCAAGGTTGGGATGGGTAGGGCATGGGCCAAGATGTACGGAACACACGTGAACCAGGCTAAGCCCACTGTGGGCGGGGCGTGCGCACAGTTGTGAGCTACATAATTCAAAAATTCGTAACTCGGTTCCAAAAGAGCCCGGAGAGTGGAAAATGTGGCAAATGATAGGCAATCAGTTGGCGGACGAAATGAGTGAGACACACCCAATATGGGCGGGGCGTTCCATAGGTGGGAGGTGATTGCCACAAAACATTCAAAAAGTAACTCGGTTGTAATGATTGCACAAAACATTCAAAAATTCGTAACTCGGTTCTAAAGGAGCCCGGAGAGTGGAAAATGAGGCAAATGATAGGCAACAAGTTGGCGGACGAAATCAATGAAGCACACCCCTGACGGGCGGGCGTTCGCCGAAGTGAACGGTGCCGAGGACAAAAACCCTCAAAACGCATCCGAAAAACCCCACGAAATGGGGTAAGGTGAAACTGAGCAATGGTTTGGCAGATGAAGTTAGTGAGGGATAACCGTAGGGAGTATACCAAATGGTTGGTACCATCGGCAATAGTTTATTCTGCGATTCCTCATCACTAAGGGGAGTGCCGCATAGAAAATTTTGATGACTGTCTTCTAGGGCTGGGGAGCTGGGATGTGGGGGGGAGGGGGGGGGGGGGTATATACAAGAAGTGAAACGGTAAAGTGCGGTAATTCTCAAAACAATATTTTTTCGACCATTCGCCCGGCGAAGCCGGTCCGATCCGACTGGTGCATTAATAGAAAGCTACTTGAATGCTCAAAGCTGAAAGGCATTTTTTTCAAATTTCAGTTTGTTTTCACTAACAATAAGCCTTCTGTTGATCACGCTTACGCCTCAGCACTTCACACGTCTTATTCCGAGCCGTGACTGTTACCAAATTCAGAAACCGGAGCTATGTGGCAGGAGTTCATAGCAACGTCCTAGCGAAATGACTTGCGGTCAGGACTTTACTGCCCATTTTGCTGTTACATCTACGTAGGTTCTAGAGCTCTGCTATGAGTTTGTAGATGCTGAGTAACTTTTCTTTGAAGAAGGGTGGACATCTACGCGTCATTTCTGTGTTCATAGATGTATGACCGACGGCATATCTAGTTTCCAAGTAAGTGAAGGACCTTCAACGGATAGCAGCACTTCGGCTTTTGATGACCGCAGCATCCTTCACTGATTGTAGAGCCCTTAGTAGGACTATCTGCAGGAAGGGTCACCCTCGCATGGAGAAAATTCTACACGACAGCAGCGAACTCTATTTAACTGTCATATTCTTTTGTTTTGTCTTCTTTTATATACTACTTGGATGTTGCATCTGTTTGCTTCTGTGCATGATAATCTGTTGACATTGTAGCGCACCTATGCGTGCATGATAAATAAATAAATAAATATTCAAGTGCAAAGGTGAAGGGAAAGAGCAGGCGCGTTGTACAGCGTACAAGCTTTTTTTGCAGTAAGAGTCACGAATATTTCACACTGAATCACAAGCAAAAAAGTGACCTACCGTAATGAGCAGGCATAGTGCTATCATAGGAAACATAGTGTCCTGATATGATGATGCAATAGCTCAAGGGAGGTGGAAGCCATTTGCTTCAATAAGTGCATTATTGCATTTGATGGGATTCAATGTCATACTGTCAAAGAGACCAGTGAGGTTTCTATGACCTTCGCTCTGATAATGAGTGAAAAAATCGAAAAGGGTAAAGGAATGTGCTAACCCGATCCCTCCTATTTTCTTCTTGTTTTCTTACTTATACCAGTTTAACTCCGCCGAAATTCCCAAGTCCTACCATTGATAAACTAACTGGTCATTTAGTGTTGATGAAACGAAGCCGGATGACCACGCTCGATAAAAAAAGCTAAAAACTATCAAGGTGGATAGGGTATGAGGGAATATAGAAAAACTCGCTTGTGTTGCCGAAAATTTCCGAGCCTATTTTCGTTTGCGAAATTTTTCCATAAGTAAATGCGTCTTGTGCCCCAGAGAATAGGGTTTCTCAGAATAAGATTCATAGGGTTTTGATTCCTGTGCGAAAGCTACCTGTTCTTCTCCCTCTAGCTGTTGAGCTGCTTCGGATTTAGGTGAATATGAAAAGAATCTTACATACGAGCGAACGTTTGCGAAATAAAATGAAATTGGTTCGAAGCAGCTC